ACACACACACACACACACACACACACACACACACACACACACACACAAAACAAAACCTCAGTAACTCTGTCAGGTCCTCCTTATGAAAAATGGGTTCAGCAACAAGAAGTGCTGAGGATTTACTGTTGTTTGTGTGTACAATTTATCTGCTTTCCAAGGAACATTATGGAAAACATAATTTTATGGATTTAACTTTGCACCAGTATAGGGCTGTCAAAAATTTAAAATTACTCACCATCAGTTTACTCAAATTCTGTCACCACAGCAAGAACAAACTACAGATGCTTACAATAAAACTAAAAATTCTCAATGAGAGAAAAAAAAAAAAGCAATGAGGATAACTTTCTTTGAAAACAATTCATGATAATAGTAAGCATTACTTTCCTGGATATGCCACCATTATTTTGGCCCTTCCTCACACATTACCAAGAGATCCTTCAGGAGATTCTTCCTGCCAACATAAACATTGTGTGAAGACTTTGTAAGTATAGCTGGGAAGAACAGACCCGTGACCTCTGTGTGACTCCGTGGTACTTTGCAAGGCAAAGGCCTAATTTGACATGTGGAATTGGTGGTCTAACCAACCTTGGCTAGCAGTGGGTCCACATGTAAGGGAGACGCAGTGGCTCCCTACCGAGGTCACCAGCCCAGGCTCATGCATGGTGAGTCATGGTGGCAGAAGGGGGCCTCCTTCCTGGCCGTCTTGACTCACTCGGTGGGGCAGGAGAGAGTTCTCATTGGAGTTGTGGTCCTGAGTTACATGAGAGACCACATTGAGCTAAACAGTTGCACCAAAATGCAACTGGATCCCTCATGTTTGGAGGGCAAAAGATGGAAACGACCAAATTCACTGATTATTTACATTGGCACATTTCTACCAAGTTCTAACATTAGCTATGGGTTCACAAATTATATTTTCTTTGTCTTTTCAACTTTTTAGAGATAATTGGCTACATCTGAATCAGACTTTTCAATGAGCTCTCCAGCAAATTTCATTCCATTCACTATTAAGAATAACGTAGCATTCAAAGTCCACCCAGAAAAGATCCAAATGTCTCAATTTTATTTGGAATCTATGGTCTGGATAGTATGGATTCTCCACCTCCCAATGTCCTTCCATTGTCATTTTTTTTTTCTTTTTCCAGAGCTGGTGTTTGTTTTTTTTTTTGTTGTTGTTGTTGTTTGTTTGTTTTTTTCTTTTTTAAGCTGAAACTAGCAATTCTCATGTTTAAACATTATTTTTATAACAACATCAATTTGTGGAAACTAAATTGTAATATGTATTTGTACTTTGTCTATTACAAAATGATTAGAGGGTTGCTCTTCTAGGCAAACTCCTAAAAATGTTTTAATCACAAATTAATAGAAAAAGAAAGGCACAGAGAGTGTTGGGACAAAACATTTGTTTCTTCCTACCTTAATCAAGTGGTCCACTGCCAGCCCTCTCAGAACTGATCTGATTTCTCTAATGTGTGGCCCATGTACCATTCAGTCAAGGCTGCCCTCAAGGCTTCACAAACTTCACTCTTCTCACTGCTTTTCTTATAATGCTTGTCTTTCTCCATTTTCTACTTGTTTTCTTATGTGTCAAATCACAGATTGCAGTCATTACTATGGACTTCAATATTGGTCTCTTTAAGAAAATATTCCTTGACTATGTCCTTGTCCCTACCCTGTATTCTCTTCCATCCTGCTTTTTTTTATTATTAATTACACTTTATTCACTTTGTATTCCCCCATAAGCCTCTCCCTCCTCTTCTCCCGATCCCATCCTACCTCCCCCTTCTTCATGAATACCCCTCCCCAAGTCCACTGATAGAGGAGGTCCTCTTCTCCTTTCTTCTGATCTTAAGTCTATTAGATCACATCAGAAGTGGCTGCATTGTCCTCTTCTGTGGCCTGGTAAGGCTGCTCCCCCCTCAGGGGGAGGTGATCAAAGAGCAGGCCAATCAGATTATGTCAGAGGGAGTCCCTCTTCCCATTACTATGTAACCCACTTGGACACTGAACTGTCATGTGCTACATCTGTGCAGGGGTTCTAGGTTATCTCCATGAATAGTCCTTGGTTGGAGTATGAGTCTCTGGGAAGTTCCCTGTGTTCAAATTTTCTGTTTCTGTTGCTCTCCTTGTGTGGTTCCCGTCCTCTCCAGCTCTTACTATTTTCCACTTCTTACATAAGATTCCATACACTCTGCCCAACAGTTGGCCATAAGTCTCAGTGTCTGCTTTGAGTCTGTGGGGCAGAGCCTTTCAGAGGCCCTCTGTGGCAGGTTCCTAGGTTGTTTCCTGTTTTCTTCTTCTTCTGATGTCCATCCTCTACCATCCTGCTCTTACCTACCTTGTTCTGCGTTAAAGTCTGCATAACTCCATCTCTCAGGGCACTCTCCTCTCATGCCATCTGTGGCTATTCTACATATTCTTATTTGATTTAAATTCATGTTCTCTAGGCTTCTTGTTGATGTCTTATGCTTCTGTCTATTCTGCAAATGATGATGTTTTGTAGGATTTTGCCTGGGTTCTCCCCCTCTGATCTATACACTCTCCCTAGATGAAAATGATGTGCACTGTGTGAATGAGTCACAGTCTTTCTCAGCTCGAGGTGATCTTACCTTGGGGAGCTATGGTGCTGGACACTCACGATCCCCAACACCACCTTGATCCAGTGACCTACAAGCTCACTTTCACTATCTCCTGGTTAAAAAATACTTATTTCTATATTTGTTTTTGTGAGTTTTATGGGTTTGGCTTTTCTATTAGGGCCATTTTTGTCATTGTGAGTTAATTGTTGTATGTGAAAAGAAATACAGGTTCAACCTCAGTGTGCATGCATGCGTGTGCCGAGTTTTCTCAGCACGAACTGCGGGAGAGACTTTTTCCTTAGTTGCCACTTGTGTTATTTGGCTTTAAACAACTGTCGTAAGTGTTTGAGATCATGATGTCATAAGGGGGAAGGGCAACCTCAGCTTATCGTCTCAGAGCTTTTGGTCCAGAGTCAGCGGACCTGCTGCTTTGAGCGTGTGGTGCCCTTCTTGGTGAAAACATGTGCAGGGCAAGCCACTTGCTTTGTAACACACATGAAGAATATGTAAACTTTGCCTAAGCTCAGTAATCCCGTCTTTGGTCCTTTAGTGGACTTTTGTATGAATACAAAAGCCTGAAAACAGGGAAACTAGTCACAGCGGTAGTGTCAGAACAGTGCTTAGTGTTGTAATCACCAAGAAGGCTTCGTGCATTACAGTAATTGCACAGTTGCTTCACCTTGCCACTCAGATCATTGTACACAAGATCCCTGTACTTTGTGCATATACACACACCCAATCCTTTATTTTTTTCATGCTCATTAATATGAAAAAAAAACCCTGTGTATTATTTCTTTTCAAAGGGATGCTGGACAGGATTACTTAAATTCTATGGGAGGAAAGGAACATTGTTGCAAGACCAGGGGCTCTTATCAGAAACATCTACTACCAGGACTGAAGATGTATGTGTCCTGAGATCCATTCTGTTTTGTTGTCGCCTGCACCATAAGCAGTGCTTGGACAGAAGTAGGAAAATGCATTCATACATATTTAAGGAAGCATTTCTATTAGCAATTAAAGAAATAAACTGTATGTCTGAGGGCACAAAAATGGCAAATTATAACTATTGTTCCTGAGGACTCTCATGCAGCATTTAAAAAGCAATGATAGATGAAGATTTGAACTTAAGTGTTAACAAATATTTTCAGATGTCAATGCACAGGAAGGACCCATCACAAAGACTGAGCTGTTAACTGATGTTTTAAAAACAGGTTTTACCCAACTTGCAATGTTCAAAATATTGCACTATATAAATTTACTTTTGTAATTTAAACATTATAAAAGCAATTCAATGACTTTGAGTATCTTGACCACCCACAAAACCTACGACCCCAAATTTACCCTGCCTACCAAGATGTACAGGGACAAAGATGGAGCAGAGATTGAGGGAATGGGCAACCAATGACTGGCCCAACCTGAGACCCACCCACCCTACAGGGGAGAGCCAACCCAGACACTATTAATGATACCCTGCTAGGAATGCAGACAGGAGCCTAGCATAACTATTCTCTGAGAAGCTCCACCCAGCGGTGGATCGAAACAGATGCTGAGACCCAAAGGCAATTAGGCGGAAGAGTTGGGGGTAGGTTAGGGGGAAGGGACAGAAGGACCTAGATAGGATTATCAATACTATTTTCCTCCAAAAAGCTGAGCATCTTCCGAATGGACAGGGGCATTTTATCTTCCTTTGTTCCTTTACATTTTTGAAGGACGTAACTGTAGCATCTATTGGAAAAAAAAAAAAAACATAAGCATCATTTAGTGCTCAGTTTTGTGTATAACAATCATGCAAATATAGTTAGCCTTAACTATCAGTAAGGCAAAAAGCATTGCTAAGTGGGAGAGTAGAAAAAAGGCTTCCTATGTAAGTCTGGGCGGGTTGAGATAGACAAGTTCTTAGTGGACAGCTCAAACCAAGATGCCAGGGCCTGAAATCCACCCTCAGGATTACCTTTCACCTCCTCCAGCCTGATCCCCAAAAGGAGGCTAAAGGGAGATTCTTCTGCAGAATCCGAGAAGAAGCTGAAATCCAGTACAGCCTTGCTGTTAAGATACCTTAACCGGCTTTGGAGGCACGACCTGGCCCAGGTCCGCCCACTGCCTCCTTCCTGAGCCGCCTACTGGTCGTCACAAGACCGACAGCTCCTCAAACCAGCCCGCCGTTTTGTCTGCCACTGTTCTTGGTCCCGGCCAGCAGAAGCGTCTTTGCGTAACCAGCGTGTTGACGTCACTGGCGGTCCCGCCCTGCATCCCCGCCCCAGCCCAGCCGGCGGGGACCGCGGAGCCGGGTCTGCAGGCCAGCGGGCGGCCCGCGCCGCGGAGGAGGTAGGCTGTTTTCCTGCTCCCTGCTGGGCAGGTCGCGAAGCCAAAAGGCTGAGGTTCCGGGGCTCGCCGGGCTCCCTGGACCTGGCCGGGGCTGCGTGGCCTGTGGGTGCAGCCGCGGAACGTGGAGGAGCGCGGGAGGGATGTCGGCCCCGGGCCCACTCCCATACTCTCCAGGAGGCGGGTGGTCCAACCTCGGCCCCTTGCTATGCACCCTCATCAAGACCCGGGTGACCTGCGGGTGTAGGCTGGCAGGTACTGTTGGTTACCAGCCTTGTGCTTTCATCAAGAAAAGCCCTGATGTAACAAAACAAAACGAAATTTAAAGCATGAGTCACGAATGTTCTAGCCATGGTCTCAGCATTTAGCTTTGCCTACTCATCCTGCCTGTAGTTTATTTTTGTTTTTGTTTTTTTTGTTTTTAAATCTCAGTACCGTTCTTTTTCTTCCTCTACTGGTTGGAACATGGTTGGACATCATGGAACTTTTCATAGTTTTCTATTAATAATGGCAGTTTTAAAGACATTGGTCTAGATTCACAGATGGAATCACTGACAGCCATCACTTGACCTAGTGCTGGTTTGGTTAAGGTTAGTAACAGGTCTGACTTAGCCCACTAGAGTTACTCCAGCATGTGCTGTGTGATGTCTTTGTTTAAGGGTCCGAACCATAATTCCCATCTATGCTTCACCTGCTCATCATCCACTTCTAGAGCAGGATTTGATGAAACAGAACAATTTATAGCATTCTGGCAGTATTTATGGATAAGTAAAATGCTACATAATCATGCCCATGAAGGGACATTTATACTGTGACCCCCTCTACGTCTGATAAGTCTGATAAGTACATTTGTAACATTTTGTATTGTTAGGAAGAATACATTTTTCCTTGAAATCTTCCTGTCTCAAACGTCGATCTTTAAAGATTGCATCATCAAATGCATTAAAGAAATGAAAACTGCTATGAAGACTTTTTCTCAGGATGATGATTATCATTTGGACTTAATCATTAGACAGTTTATATGATGAATGTCTGTGTATGCCACATGGTGTTTTAGGTGTTGGAAATTGAGTGCTGAACACTGGCTAAGATTCCTGCCCTTAGAGTCCTTGGATTTTGCTGGATACAGAATGTATGCACAAATAAGAGCATGATTTTAGATAGGAATGAATGCTAGAAAATCGAGCAGTAAGACACATTGGTGTGGCTGTGGAAAGTGGAATCTGGGAAAATGTCCCTGAAGAGAGGATGCTTTGGATGAAACCTGGATGTTTGGATAGAGTCAGGGGAAGAGCAGGATGTTTCCAGTTACACTGCAAGGCTGGAAAGGAAAAGCAAGCTCAGTGGGAGGGGATTCCACTTGGCTGTATTGGAGGGGCAGTGAGGGAGGGGAGTGGCGTTGGTTGGAGGTGGTCCTGAAGAAGGAGCAGGTGTGCCGGTGGGGAAGTTTGGACTTCAGAGGCCCTCTGCATTTAGAGGCACTCATACACTCTCAGCAGCTTTCTGTTGATGTTGGTTATGGAATCATTTTATATTTTTCTCCTTGGGGGGCCGGGTCCTCTTAAGGAGGACTGGCTCTCTGTTCCCTAGCGCTGTATCCCGGTTATCTTTCCTTCTCGGTGTTTTATGTAAGACAGACCATCTGCTTATCTTCAGCTCTAGCTTTTATCTCCATACTCCTAGCCGTGAGTCAATTCCAATACAGTCTTTACCTGCTTTCCTTTTGGAAAGCACTGGCGGGCAGTCCTGCTCTGTCCTGACAAGTGCTAAGAATGTACAGTGGTAAGTGGATTAGCCTTTCCCATTGGAACTTGCATTTCTGACTCAGGATTCCTGTCTTTATTTAGTTCCTGCAGTTTTCTTAGGGACGTCACATGCATTCTTTTTTTTTCAGATGTAATTGCAAATACTAAACTTTTCATCAGTGAAGGAAATGTACAGTAACTCACCTCAGCTAAATCGGTGGAGGTCGTTGGCTTTACCCTGCTGCACCAATGCTCTACGTCTTCTCTCTGCAGTGAATAGCAGGATCTACGGGTTAATGAACTTTCCAACTTGGTTTCTGATGTTGCATTTTATAACTCATGAGATAGACCCTTTCAGCAGAGAAGGGGTTCTGGAACCGAATTTCAACACATAAAACAGCCAGGAATGCCAAGTGCTCACCTCCAGATTTTCATGCTGGTCTTTTTGTTCTGTTTCCTTTCTAGAAAGTCTCATAGCAAACAGTGTCTGTGTACCTCAAAGTACGGCGAGTTAGTCTCTAGAGACCGAACTCATTGTTCCTAAACTCATAGGAGACAGTTTCAAAGATGAGGCAGTGCGTTTCCTTGAACTAAAAATAATCCTTTGATTTTTTACCCCCATTTCTGAAGAAGTATATGTCAGCACTTTACATGTCCCTTTTTGTTAGAAGGCTGTCACTCTGACTTCCAACATAGTGTAAGTGACTCCCATTTCAGTGGTACATGCTTGTAATACCAACTCTATGCAAAGCTCTGCCCAAGTTGTAGGGCAGCCTGGGCAACGTAGCAGGACTCTGACTCCTGATTTAAAAGAAAAAAAAAAAAGAAGAGGAAGTAGGATTGTAGCTCAGGAAAAGAATACCTGAGTGTCCCTGGGTTCAGTCCCCAGTACGTCAGGGGGGGAAAAAAAATTCAAGTTTTAATTTCAGAAGTGTGTGAAAGAAATTTTTAAAAAGTTGTCAATGTTTTCCTAGCCTGTTCTTATTATCTTAGCTATGAGGTAATGTGTCATGAAACTCGCTGCTTCATTGTTTCTGGTAGCAAGTAGAGCTTTTCCATGATTGAGGAAGTACTTGAGTGAGTGAGCTCAGTGATGTCATTTTTCTAATGCTACTTTAAGAAGGCAGAAGCCTGTTTATAAAGTTTATATGGTTGAGAAACCAGTTTATTATATGGTTGAGAAATAGTGTAGGTAGTCCTAAATTTTAAAAAGAACCATTGGTTGTAAGGTTCTCTTATTTGGAGAACTGCATTAGATCAACAACAGTAAAGTTATGAAACTTAAAATCAGTAGGTTAATTTGCTTTCTGCCTGCCATTTTGAGCTACTGTCATAACAGAAATTGAGTTTAATGCCTTCAGAATAATGTTAATAGAATTCTTAAGTGTCAGAGGATCTTTACATTAATGCAAAAGAGCTTTTATTCACTCTAGCCCCAAATGTCGAAACTGTATGTTTAGACCAAGTCTTACCGTCTGTAAGGAGCTCCTGCAGCTCATGGCCACATTTGTGGAGATTAGGCTGTGAACATCAGACCTCACAGTGCAGGCATCCGGATTGTCTCCTCATGGCCAGTCCTGTGCCTTAAACAGGGACCCTGACCGCCTTAGTGCCTGCCACTGCTTGTGTTCTGCGTGACAACAGCCCAAGGCTCTGACTGTGCCAGAGTCCACTCCAGTGTTGGACTTTGTCAGTAAAACATTCCTCTTCTCTCATTGATGGACGCTTTCTCTTTTCACAGCACTTTTTGGGATGTCGTCTCTGCTCCTTGTTTTGCCTTTCTACCTTCATTCCTTTGATCACACCTTAGCATAGATGCAACTTCAAATCTGAGTTGGCTCATGTCTAAAAGACTGCCTTGTACATGGAGTGGTTTTAGCAGAGTCTAGAGCCCTCTAGCTTTGTTTGCACTTGAACTACCATCTTTGTGAGAAGTGCTGGAAAGCTTTTCTCGGCTTTGATTCCACAGAACCGTCTTCCTGTTTTAGCTTGGGTCTGATTTCTAGAGTGTGCAGCAGGTCTCTTTTGAGAAGCTTAAAAAGGTTGAGCACACATTGTTAGTGAAAAAGTCATGTGAAATGGCTACAGGCGTTAATATTGTTAATATTGTAGATGGAAAAGCTGATGTCCAATGAGCCTGGTTGGGACTCTTGGCTGCTTACTTGGGCCTGGTCAACACTTAGGGGTTCTGCTGCACTTCAGGATTCCTGACAATCTCTTCTGTGACATAGTGTCACAGCTTAGGCCTTTCTGATTGCTGTCTTTCTTTATGAATAGACCTAGATATGGAAGGTCCTTCTTGTCTTGTGAATGGAGATCAAAGCCTCAGTTCTCACCCAGGGTCTTTGACTCTGGCTGTTTAAGTATAAAGGGTCCTCCTGGTCAGGAGCTGGGCTAGGGTTGGTTTTGTACTCTGAGTTTGAAGTGTGCCTCTTCTGTTTTTCTAGTTTCTCACAGCTCCCCCACACCCACAGTGTTTTGTGACTAGTTAATCTTCACTTTATTAAATGCATCATTTGTCTTAGAACTTTTTAAGTTGAAGAAGCAGTTAATAGATTTCTTGTATCTTGTATCTCTCAGAACGATAGACTTTTCAAATAGTGTATATTATTGCTTATTATAGTACACTCTCATCCTTGTTTTCAAAATATAGAGTCCATAATTCTTGGAATTAATCGCTTCCTGTTTGTTGATTCAATAATGCAGAATCAAGTGATTTCAGTAACGATTCTCTTTTCAAACTTCTTTCAATTATGTGTGTTTGTGTGTGTGCTGGGGTGTGGCTGTAGGCACCTGCAGGCACCTGCAGGGTCCAAGAGTGCATCAGTTCCACAGGAGCTGGAGCTGAAGTGGTTGTTAGCCGTGCCCAGCATAACTGAGTCCATGTGCTCTTGATGCTGAGCCACTCTTCAGCTTCCAGAGCTGTTCTTCTGTTACTGTGGTGTTGTAAATCCATCAAAGGTAACAGCAGCTCTTGAGGTGTTAGAAGTTTTGCCAGCAAAGTTGAGGTCACCAAGCCAGGATTTGCTTGTAATTGTTGTTGCTAGTAATTAGCACAGAAGACGTTTTGTGTCCAGAGCTGTTCTGATGGCCTGTGCTAGGCCTTCCCATCCTCAGCCCCACCTTGCTAGTGATAGTGTTGATGCACAAGACCATCACTGGCCTCTAGATAGACAACTGTGTGGCAAATGCCCCAGGGCTGTGAGCACATTCAACTCCTCAACTCCCTGTCCCAGTGGGAGTCTTTATTCTCCAAAC